TCAGACCTCCTATCAGACCTCATATCAGACCCCCTATGAGACCTCCTATCAAATCCCCTATCAGACCTCCTATCAGACTTCCTATCAGACCTCCTATAAGATCTCATATCAGACCTCCTATAAGACCTCCTATCGGACCCCCTATCAGACCTTCTGTCAGTCCTCCTATCAGACCTCCTATCAGATCTCATATCAGACCCCCTATGAGACCTCCTATCAAATCCCCTATCAGACCCCCTATCAGACCCCCTATCAGACCTCCTATCAGACTCCCTATCAGATCCCCTATCAGACCCCCTATCCGACCTCCTATAAGACCTCTTATCAGACCTCCTATAAGACCTCTTATCAGACCTCCTATAAGACCTCCTATTAGACCTCCTATCAGACCCCCTTTCAGACCTTTATCAGACATCCTAAACCCCCCCTCCTCTCAGGCCAGCTTGTGATTCAAAACGTTCTTTAATCAGAGGCATATATTTCCACAGACAGAACAGAAGTGTGTGTGTGTGTGTGTTTCAGGAGATGCTGGAAGGCGCCGACTGGGGCGCCGACCTCCCGTCTGTGGAGGCCAACCTGCAGAAGCAGAGCGCCATCCAGGGCGCCGTGGAGGAGCTGATGAGCGGGCTGCAGGAGGCGCGCAGCTACGAGGTGCCAGACTCCCCCACCCGTCCCCCCCACAGTCTGAAAACCGGGCCCTGATCCCCTCTCCTGTCTCCCCCCGCAGGCTAAAGTCTCCCCAAACTTCAAGGGCAGCTACTCGGAAACGCTGGCTAAACTGGAGCTCCAGTACTGCAAACTGCTGGTCAGTCTGAGCCCGGCGGCCGGCGCCTTCGGGCACTCTGCGTCTGTCCTGCTGCTCCACCCTGTTCTGGGCCCATTCTCAGGCCTCAGGCAGCTCAACAACTTTGTTTACTGTCATTTGAGCATTAATAACATCCAAAACAGTCTTTTTTTAGTCATCCAAAGATACATTAGATGGCCTACAGCCCATAAAAGTTCAATTATGGGTGCAAACACTTGACTAGTGTTTGGAAAAAGGAGATTTTTTTGTAGGTTTTCAGACATTCTGACATCATATTGCAAATATTTAGTGTTTATGATAAAAAAAAAACAAAATGTCCCTAATTCACTGTCAGGCTTCAGGCAGCTCAGCTGTTTTGTTTGCCGTCATTTGAGCATTAATAGCTTCCAAAAACAGTCTTTTTCAAAGATCTGTTAGATGGCCCAGAGCCTATAAAAGCTCAATTACTGCAGTATATAGTTGACTAGTGTTTATGAAAGCAGCTTTCTTTGGTAGGTTTTAATGAAGTCTGGTAACATATTGCAAAGAATTACTGTTTGTTTCCTATTTATGATAAAAAAAAACTCTGACTTAATGTCTGTAATTCACTGCCAGGCCCCAGGCAGCTCAGCCGCTTTGTTTGCCGTCATTTGAGCATCAATAACAAGACGACGGTGTCTGTTTGTGTGGTTGCCGTAGGAGCAATCGTCATGGCGCCTGCAGAGTTTGGAGAGCCTGCATGCGTTTGTGTCGCACTGCACCGAGGAGCTGATCTGGCTCAACGAGAGGGAGGAGGAGGAGCTGGCCTTCGACTGGAGCGAGGGCAACGCCAACATGGCCGCCAAGAGGGAGATCTACAGCGTGAGCCCCCGTTTAAAGATGGCCCCCATTTACACATGGCTCCCATTTACCTGTTTAAAGATGGCCCCTGTTTAAAGATGGCACCCGTTTACACATGGCCCCCGTTTAAAGATGGCAACCATTTAACCGGTTAAAGATGGCCCCCGTTTAAAGATGGCCCCCGTTTAAAGATGGCATCCGTTTACAAACGGCCCCCATTTAACCGTTTAAAGTTAGCCCTCTCTGTTTCTTCACAGGAAATGAGGCTGGAGCTGGCAGAAAAACAGGAAGTGATGCGGTCCCTCCAAGAGACGGCCAGCCGACTGTGCCAGGAGAACCACCCGGCCAAGCAGACGGTAGAGGTGAGCAGCCCCCTTTGGGAAAGCAGCCCAGTTCATCCCTATGGGAACCCAGTTCATCCCAATAGGGAATCCAGTTTATCCCTATGGGAACCCAGTTCATCCTAATAGGGAATCCAGTTTATCCCTATGGGAACCCAGTTCATCCCTATGGGAGCCCAGTTCATCCCTATGGGAACCCAGTTCATTCATCCCAGCGGGAACCTAGTTCATCCTGAACCAAACTGGTTCTTCATGGGGGGTCTGGGTCATCATGGGGAGTCTGCTTCCTGACCCAGACTGGTGAGTCTGGGTCCTCATTGAGGATCTGGGTCCTCTTAGGGGATCCTCAAGGCGGGATCTGGGTCCTCTTAGGGGGTCCTCCTGTGGGGGTCTGGGTCCTCATGGGGGTTTACTTCCTGACCCCTCCTGTGTGCTCAGGCCTACAGTGCGGCCCTGCAGACCCAGTGGCAGTGGGTGGAGCAGCTGTGTGTGTGTGTGGAGCAGCACCTGAAGGACAATACGGCTTACTTCCAGGTGAGGTCCAGAACCTGGGACCCGCCCCGTGCCCCCCCCCACCCCCAGTTTGGTGCTCACCGCCTTTGCTCCTCTCCTCCTCCCAGTTCATGAGTGACGCCCGGGACTGTGAGTCCTACCTGCGGCAGCTCCAGGAGACCATCAAGCGCCAGTACACCTGTGACAAGACCAGCAGGCTGAGCAAGCTGGAGGACCTGCTCCAGGACTCCATGGTACCCAAACACCGGCCGGGCCCCTGCAGGGCTGGGGGGGGCATCACAGACCTGAACACAAATAGGGTTCACAGGCAGACCTGGTTCTGGTTCTGCCCACTTCTGGGGTCTCAGAAGCAGTTTACTTGGTAGAGAAATGGTGGATTTCTCTGGTTATTTGGGAACTTATCTATCTATCTATCTATCTATCTATCTATCTATCTATCTATCTATACTCCTAAAAAGGGTGTTTTAGGGGGACATTTGGGGAATTTAAAGGGATGAACTGATGCAATTTCCTTAATAAAAAAAGTCAGTTCAGATTTTAAAAAGTTGCAGATTTCTTTGCAGGTTTTCACTGATTTGAAGTCCTCTGAATGGCTTTAAGTCCTGTTTTAAGTCCTCTGGTTGGCTTTAATCCACCGCTGTGTCAATCTGTGTCACCTTCCTGTGAAATTCATCTCTGGGGCCTTACATATGAGGCCTCCATGATGCCCCCTCCCCATGAATCCTTAATGCCCCCCCGCCCAGCTGGGGCCACATAGGAGCTAAATCCGGCCCCCCTGTCAGCAAAGCAGCTCACAGGTTAATGTTTAATGGTTCCTGAGTCAGGAGGCGCTCTGCTCATGTCAGCAGGCTCACCACAAACAGGGGGAACTCGCTTAGGAAGCCATCAGCTCTAAACCAGTTTGTGGAAAGAGCTTTGATTTGGATGAGAATCTCCCTCCTTATGAATTTATTTTTAAACGTTCATCGATTTATTGCTAATCTAGATGAGGGACAACGCCCATTTTTACACATGTTTGGGGGATGAAAATGGATTATTCTATTAAAAAAACATGCCCAAAATACTGTTTGAATAATAGAAATGAGTTTTTTAAAGGTATATATTTTTAAGTTAATTACAGAATGAATCAAATTGGGGTGTTTCACATGTTTTTCTGTCTGTATCTCAGAAAAAATAAACCAAATTGCAGGTGTGGCGCATTAATGAGAAACTCCTTTGAACTTTAGATGGTTCAAATGGAAATTAGAGAGCATTTTCTGAAAATATTCTCCTTTTATAAAAAAAAAACCTGGATAAAGTCTGAGTCTGGCTGTCCCCCCCTGCAGGAGGAGAAGGAGCAGCTGATCCAGTACCGGGGCACGGTGGCCGGCCTGGTGGGCCGGGCCAAGTCGGTGGTGCAGCTCCGCCCCCGCGGCGCCGAGGCCCCGCTGGGCGCCGCCACGCCCGTCCGGGCCATCTGCGACTACAGGCAGATCGAGGTACTGCAGGTTCCAGCCCCCCAGGGGGCCCAGACGAGCCCGCCTCCGCCTGGATCCTCCTCTCCGGCCGCTTCTAATCTCCAAAAATGACGATTAGAAACCGGTTTTCTGTCTGGAAAATTACCCACGAGGGGTAGAAAGCAAAGCTCATGGCTCCGGCCGTCCCTCTCAGCCCTGATGTCCTCTGAGAATCTAAAAGTCAATCAATTATACATCCCGTGCGGCAGCCGGGGGGCGCCAGCCCGGCTATATTTAGCCCGGGAGGCTCCAGGTGGAGGAGGGCGGGGCTTCAGAACTTTGAGTCATTCTCATTCTCGCCGGACGTCGTGCACACGACCAACAGTAATCTCTCTCTCCTCCGCTCTCCTGTGTCTTCTCCCCTCTCTCCATCCCCCTCTCACCCCCGTCCCCCCCCCACCCCCGTCTGTCGGCTGGGCTGGCTAGACCAACGCTCAGGTATAGCAGCCTGTTTCCTCCCTCCCAGCTCAGACTCTGCACACTGCGCCGCCTGGCTGCCGCCCTCCAATCAGCTGCTCTCAGCCCACGGAACGGGGGAGCAAGTTTTCCTCCAGGTTTTGTTTATGAAACCGATCAAAATTAATTTTGAAAAAAAAAAAAAAACTTTTAAAATGCTTAAAAAAAGGGGGAAAACTTGCTCGGCTCGTTTCTTTTTTTCTTTTTCCTTTAATCTGGCCCCCGTTTTTTCATCAGAAAATCTGATGAAATTGCCTGATGATTATTTGTGATACTTAAATCTGCCCGAAAAGCAAATTAAATATTTGTTTTTAGACGTCTTTCATTCAGCAGAGGCTCCAGTATCTCAGATGAAAGATCTGTGGGGCAGAATTTGAGGTAGTTTCTTCATTGTCTGGCTAACTTTGTGTTCATGGGCCATCCTGCCTTTGGTTAGGATGTTTTAAAATTAAACATGAGTAAATGATTACTTTTCACGAAATGGAATGAAAGACCAAAGGTTTTTCAAAAAATTAGATATCCTTTTAAATATGAACATTATTCCATACACAAAGTGTTGACTCTATGCTTTTAATCCAAATATAATTTGATTTAATTATGTTCATTATAATACATTAAATACATCCTAATTGGTTATGTAAATTTAAATGATAATTTAAGTTAATGGATTAAATATATTTTCTAGATTTATTTTTAAGTTTGATTTAATTTAATCTAATTTTGCTCTCCAGCTGTTCAGACGCTCAGAGATCAGCTCAGACAGTCACACATTTATTGATGGATGTGACTTTGGCTGAATGGCGGTCTGCACATGCTGGCCACATAAAAGATCAAACTGGGGTCAGAGGTCACGGCTTCATGCGGCTGAGGTCAGCTGATGAGTGCAGGCTGAACTGGAGGGATTTCAGGCCCTTCAGTCAGTCGGTGTCGAGCTTTCAGTGTGCGTTGTGTGTGGCTTTGCATTGTGAGTGTGTGGGCAGGGTGGGGGTGAGGGGGGGGGGGAGCTGCTGCACAGCTGATGCTTTCAATGAGCAGAAACTCCATGTTTGTGCTGCCTTTTCTCGGCTCGCTTTCCACTAAAAACTGATTCAGTAACTGATGCAAAGCGGCCGTCGGCCTCCAGAATCCTTTCTGGGTTGTAGCTGACTTCATTCCGCCCACCCATTCCTCCATTGTATCACCCTGTGTTCCATGTTTTCCTTTCTCCCCCCGACCATCCATCCTGTCTCTTACTCCCTTTAACGGTTGTGATGCCTCGATTAATTTCTGCTCTCTTGTATTTTCCATCCGCCCGCCCGCCCGCCCTCCCCCCCCTCTTCCCTGTCCCCCCCCCCCCTCATCTCGGCGCGTCTCGGTTCTGACTCTCAGATCACGATCAGCCGAGGAGAGGAGTGCGTGCTGGAGGACAACTCCCAGAGGACCAAGTGGAAGGTGATCAGCCCCACAGGGAACGAGGCCATGGTTCCCTCGGTGTGCTTCAGCGTGCCCCCCCCCAACCAGGAGGCCATCGACACGGCCGGCAGGTGAGTCCGGACGCCTCCAGGAGGCAGAGCCACGCCCACGCAGCTTCTACGAACTAAGAAAATCCCGTTTCCAGACGACACGAAACCCCAAATACACCCAGTTTTAGTTGGTTTGGGTCTGTTTCGCCTGTTTGTAAAGCCAAGGCGTCCTGACTTTGGTTTTCTGGCTGATAATAACAGAGATGGTTCCACTCTGCTTTCTTTTATTCTTCTATCTGTGATAATACATCAACATAGGAGCCTCTGGTCAGAACCAGAGTGAAAAGAATTCACACTTTCTGCTTGTTTCCTTCAAAATCAGCTCTAATTTACACTAAATGAGCTCTAATATATCAGATCTTACAGAGAAAAGTGTGATAAATGTTATTGTGTTCACCACAAAGGAGAAACTGACTAAGCAGTCAAACAGAGCAGAGTGGACAAAAGGTGTAAAACAACATGAGGGGTAAATCTGCGTGAGAAGCTAAAAAGCGGCGTCCAACAATTAAATGTACCTTTATATTTAGTCTGAGAAGAGGAGAAAATGAGCTGTAATGTGCCTCCTCTGCTTTAGATCCTGTTCTTTTAGAACCACATAAGATGTCAAATAAATGTGTTTCACAAATAAAACTGCTCATGTTTCTGAGTTCTTATAAATGAAATGACTCCCAGAAGTCCGCCCGGGTCTCTAAAACTGTTCTTGCTGCAGCTTTTTGAGCCTTTTTGGCCGAATAAATGGAGCTGGATCCTGGTGTGAGGCTGAGCAGCGTCTCCTGTGTGTGTGTAGGACCGAGCAGCTGTACCAGAAGGTGATGGCCCTGTGGCACCAGCTGCATGTCAACATGAAGAGCCTGGTGTCCTGGCACTACCTGCTCAAAGACCTGCGCACCGTCTCCGACTGGACTCTGGACTCGGTGAGGCTGGGTTTGGGCTCCCTCTTGGTCCCCCTCTAGGCCCCCTCTGGGCTCTTTCTGGGTCGCCTCTGGTCCCCCTCAGGGCTCCCTCTCTAGGCTCCATCCGGGCTCCCTCTTGGCCCTCTCTCTGGTCCCTCTCTGGTCCCCCTTTGGTCCCTCTCTGAGCTCCCTCTGGTCCCTCTCTCGGGTCCCCCTCTGGGTCAGAATCTGATTTAGAAATGCCCCCTGTGGGCAGTGCAGGCAGGCCTCTGACGCCCTCTGCTGGTGGGTTGCAGGTGCGCGTCCAGGCCCCGGCCGAGCGGCAGCAGGCGCTGGATCACCTGGAGGCCCAGCTGGCCGACTTCCTGGAGGACAGCAGGGACAGCCCCCTGTTCACGCCGGCCGACCGGGCGGAGCTGCAGGAGGCCGTCCAGGAGGCGCAGAACCACTGCCGCGAGCTGCTGCTGCACATGGAGACCGGTGAGGCTGGACCAGACACCCACGGGGGGGAAAGTCACATGTTACAGCAGCAGAAAAACACAAGAGCAGAAAGAGAGAAACACAATAAGCCCAGCAGAGGCGTCAGTAAAGGTGTTTACAGGGGATGTTAACACAATATAACACAATAAGTGAAAAAACAAATGAAAGAAAGCATAAATAATTTTTATGATAATAATAATTTAAACAGAAAGTTGATAAAATGCATCTCTTTCTCTGTCCATCTTAAGGAAAATATTTTTATTAGCTTTTGGGGAAAATGGGTTAGATGTGTAGAGTCTGTGCGGCCCGATATTGTAGAGGTCCGATATTAATCTCCTGATTTGTGCTTTTTTTTTTTTTGGAGTGTCGGTATCTGGTTTCCTTTTCTTTCTCCCCCCCCCCCATTCTCTCCCACCAGGTCCCAAATAATACACATGTAATATACTTATGTTTTTTTTCTTTCTATTTATGTATTATTTATTCATGATTTAATTTAAATTATTTTGTTATATATGTATTATTTATTCATGATTTAATTTAAATTATTTAGTTATTTATGTAGTTATTATTGTATTATTATATATACTTTTTTTTTATTCAACTTTTTCCCCCCTGCTTGGGATGTTTCTTTTCTCTTCTTAGTCTCCTATATTTTTCCGAGTTGGTATAAACTTTGCTCATATATATGGCTCTGCCCTTCTTGTTGAGGACTTCGGTGTAAACAGCGACCTTTAACCTTTGACCTCTGACCTCTACTGCAGAGGAGAAGGACGAGTCGGCGTCCCGCTCCTTCCTGTCGGAGCTGAACGGCATCGGCCTCCGTCTGGACGAGGCCGAGCGCCGCCTGCTGCGGGGCATAGAAACCCCGCCCCCCTCACGGCCGGCGGGCGCCGCCGTGGACGCCGCCGTGCAGATCGGCGAGCAACAGGTGGGTGTGACCCCCCCCGGCCCCCGGTGGCCTGCTGTGGACAGCCCTCTGACCTCGGTCTGCCCCCCCCAGACGCTGCAGTCGGAGCTGGACGGCGTGCGCCGCAGCCTGGGCGACGTCTCCCGCCGCTGCGCCTCCTTCCTCCAGGACAAGCCGGCGGCGTCCCCCGGCGGCGCCGCCCTGCAGACCGAGCTGGACCGGGCGCTGGACCGGACCGACCGGCTGCACGGCCTCTCCACCGCCTACCTGGAGAAGTAAGAGGCGCCATTTTCTGGCTTCCCCGTCGGCGACTGAGCTTGTTAACCCTTGTTTTGAGTTTAAAATGCTCCCTTTAAATTGCATCCTTTAGCCAGCCACCCGATACAGGCCAACAGAGCCAGGAAATATCTTGCTCCGGATGAGCTCATCAAACATAAAAAAAGCTAAGAGTGTAGTCTCAGAGTGCTGACTGGCTGAATGTGCAGGTTGAAGACGGCGGAGTTGCTGGTGCGACGCCTGGACGAGGCGGAGGGCCACGTCAGGAGGTTTGAGAGCAGGCTGAGCGAGGAGGACGCCGTCCCCGCCGACACGGCGGCCATCCAGAGCCTCACCGATCAGCTCGGGGTAAAGAAAACGCACCCAGCGGGCGGAAATCCGCCGCCCTCCTTCGTTGTGCCTGCTGTCGGTCTCATTGTGGCGTCTCCCTCTCTGCCCAGCGGTGGCAGGCCGAGCTGTCCCAGCAGGACCACACCTTCCAGGCCCTGCAGGAGGAGGCGGGCCGGGCCGGGGAGGCGGGGTCTCGGCTCGGCCGGCTCCACGCCGCCCGCAGCCCGGAGCTGGAGCGCTACCAGGAGGAGGCCGGCCGGCTGGCGGAGAGGTGGAGCGGCGCCCGGAGGCAGATGGAGACCCGGTGAGCTGGGGTGGGGGGACCGGGGGGACCGGGGGGGGGGGGGGGGGGGGGCGGGGGGGGGGGTGGATGGCGCCCTGTGAGGGGGTCTGACGGCGCCCTGTGGTCACAGAGGGGCGGATCTGGAGGCTCTGGCCGCGGCGCTGCAGCAGTACAGAGACGGCCACTCGGCGCTGATCCGCTGGATCGAGGAGACCACCCAGAGGCAGGAGGGCGCCCAGCCCAGCCGGACGGACAGCAGGGCACTGTCCGAGCAGCTGGCCCAGCAGACGGTCAGTCAGGCCGCCCGGGGCTGGGGGGGGGGAGTTACCCAGCATGCTCATTACAACCCCCCCGCTCTCCCTTCCAGGCGCTAGTGGCCGAGATTGAGCAGAACCAGAGCAAACTGGACCAGTGCCAGACGTACTCCAAACAGTACTGCGCCTCAGTGAAGGTAAGGCGGATCCAAGTGGGTTCAGGAGGTTCCAGGAGGGTTCAGGCAGCTCCAGGGGGCTTCAAAAGCCCTTACGAGGCCCCAGGAGTCTTCAGGAGGCTCCAGGAGGCTCTGGAAGGCTTCAGGGGACTTCAGGAGGCTCCAAGAGGCTTCGGCTCCCCTTTCGGTCAGAGTTCATGGTCGGGGCTGCAGCTCACAGGCGGCTTTGTGCTCTGAAACAGGACTACGAGCTCCAGCTGATGACCTACAGAGCCTTTGTGGAGTCCATGCACAAGTCGCCGGTCAAGAGGAGGAGGATGCACTCCTCGTCTGACACCATCACTCAGGAGGTGAGCAGGCTGCTCCCACTAACACGTCTCTGCTGGCTATGAAAAGCAGCCAGGTCTCTCCCTACTACTCCAGCTGGGTGCTCTTCAAGGCTCCCAGCTCCTCCCTCATCTCACATTTCCCATCGTGATAGAGGGGAGGGACGTTTGAAGCTCATCGCTTTTCTTCCTGTCGTTCCCTCCTGTGACACTCGCCTTGATTCCGGGTCCTTTTCCAGCTTTCCCATGTTTGGGAAAGCCCAGTCAGCTAAAACATGGTGAAAAATGACTCCCGGGCCCTAACAGAACCAGAACCGGCTCAGAGAAATCTGACTTTAACAGCTGGGAAAGGTTCAAAGAAGCAGCCGGTGTTGGTTGTTAGCTCGTTCCCTTAAGCAGGACCCCTGCAGGAAGCGTGCTGACGGGTTTCTCTTGCTGTTCCAGTTCATGGACCTGCGCACGCGCTACACGGCCCTGGTCACTCTGACCACGCAGCATGTGAAGTACATCAGCGACGCCCTGCGGCGGCTGGAGGAGGAGGAGGTGATGTTTGCCCCCCCCC